AAGCAGCCATTTAATAAAATCCTGAGTTCTCTTAAGAGAATCTTTCTAAAACAGGAGCGGTTAAATATTTTTTTTGCAGTACAAAGTTCATCCATTTGTTCTTTCCGACCCGAAATTCCTGTTAAGGTTGAAATTATTGTTAGATATCATTATTCTGTATAGTGTCAGAGTGATCAAGAAATAAAATGCATAATTCTTCAAAGCATAATATTAAAGCATTTAGTTTTCAGAAGTTATGTTTAGCATACATTGGGTTTGTGCATTTGTGGCTTATAAGATAGACATCAGATTATATTATAATCAATCCAGTTTATTTTAGAGAGAAGGAAGGAGAAAAACAATACAGCATGATGTGATTCACCTCTCCATCTTGATTAATTGCAGTTCAGTGATCACACGGTAAACAAAGTGAGATTTAATGTGAATTGGTTCTATTCAAATTAAATCACAATACAAAACAAAGAAACTGTGCAGCTGAGTTAATCTAATTAAACAACAACCTTTTACAAGCATGGATTGTCTAACAATTCCAGTGAGCCTTTATAAAACCTGACTTATGATATACAAAAAAACAGATTTGAAGTGAAAAGTTATGTAACCTTTCCAGAGCAGATGTTATTAACACTTATTCAGTAGCCCAGCAGTAAACAGCAGCAGTATACATTTTCTATTTCTTGAACAACAAATGTACAATTAGCTTTCAGTGAGTTTTTTTTTTTAATGTAGGTTCTCGCTTGGTAATTTAGCAAAAACATTCAATACTGCTGTAAAATAACATCAGTAAGGCTTATGAAAGTTAACTGACAGTGAAGTAGCTCAACTGTGCTCAGAAACACGGGGGACATAATTAAAAAGAAAAAAAACATTGTATTGAAAGCCCCATTCTTAGTAACACAGTGTGACTATATATCTTTAGAGCACGTTATAGGGACCTGTAATTGCCTTTTTAAAGGTAGAACTATTAGAAAGCTGTTCAAAGAAAAGTCATTATCTGCCTCGCATTGAGAAGACCCCAAACTTGAGGCGGGTAAATTAGGGTCATAGATGGACTTTAGCTTTACAGCATCCCGATATCTTAAGTACGGCATGAAGTTAGTCCAGCAACTTTGTGAAACGCTTGTGTGTGCATCATGTCTCTGCCATGTTCATCCCTTTGTTATATTGTTTGACACGCATCATAACCATCTGCCCTGCTGCAGTGATTGAACTCTTCTGTTTCTGACAGAGTAAATATTTAAAATGGAGCCTAAACCCTGAAATTCATGTTTCTATGAAAATCATCTAATTGATTATCTAATTATTAGATGATTCTTAGTAAAACAATGACCAAATATAATACACTAAATCTCTTTGCTGCTGCTTTCATGATACATCTTGGTCCTGCACCTCAATATATTGACTTCATTCAGTGTTTCTTAAAATCTTTAACATCCCTAAACAAAACAGCCTGAAACAGGTGGAAGTGTAATGTTCCAGCTAATGCCATTCATAATTTTTCATCACATTTAAGAATGTAGTCGCTAGAAATGATTTTGCAAGAAAAGTACCCATTTGAAGGTAAGCAAAGTTATATTAACTATTCATTACTCATTTGGTTAAGGGCTGAAATGATTAATCAAACAGATCTTGATTAACTTTGAATCAATTGGAATGCATGATCTGGTTGAATTGTTGGTTTCATTCAGGAGAGCATCCTTTAATACGTTTGTAACACAGAAGATCTACAAATGGAACAAATCATGTCAAATTATTTAATGAAAGAATATTATGATTTTTATTTTCTCAGGTTTTTAAATATAGTAAAAAGATCCAGGAAAAAACACAATGATCAAACAGACCATCCGATCAGTTTTCAGTATGAAATAGAACAACAATGGTACAATGGCACGCAGTGTTCTTCCATGATCCACCCAGTTAAAAAGAACAGGAGAAAAAGAGGACAGTATTAAACTGAAACTAGCCCAAATATGGTTTCACAAAGTGCTAAATAATCAAACGTGCTGCCACCCATTGATAAAATAGTAATATCTCTATAAAAAGCACTAAACAAGTGCTGTTAAAAGTTGTATACTTATCAAGCTGTTGCTTCTAATGCAGGAATATGTTAGCAATATGTGACCTAAAAGGACACATATTGTTGTTTTCTTGTTTCTTTAAAACAACTCTTAAAGGTACTGTATAGTGGAGGATGTTCTTTTTCAGGTTGGATCATCAAAATACGTGGTCCTCCTAATTGTCATTCATTCTGGTGATATGTTTACATGCTCGTCCCAATTTTCACTTGCCGTTGGTGAGTCTGACATAGTGGAAAAATTGCAAATTTTCTTCTGAAAAGTACGTTTTTATCAGTGATGCAAGATGCAACTTTTAAACAGAGTGTGCACGAGGAAATGGGCTTATGCATGCTCTTACATGCATTTAATAGGCATTTCCTCTCGTGAGTAGGTGCAGGGTTGTGCATGTATAGATTTTTTTGAAAGTGGAGAGGGCGGGTCAAAAACTTGTGAAAATATACTATACCTTTAACTTTCATGACTACCTTAATGCATGTATACTAATTTGTGTGCAGTGCAGGTGCAGAGAAGATTCAAGAAAATGATTCAAGAAAATGTCAGGGTCAGATAAAGGTATATCACACGTCCTTCTTGTTTAGACCTATTAAGAACGTGACCTATTTCCCCTTGTGAAACAAGTGATGGGAGACAAAAAACTATGTGCATATATACAATATTAAGCATTACTGCAATAAGAGTTAGGCTACTGTCATCCATACTATGGCTGGTAACATGATTAGCCTATTTAGGAACATTTCAGGTGGATTTGTTTTATTAGGTGGATTTGTTTTATTTTTTAATGAATATCTGTTTCAATATCTCACACCACACCAGATTTGGATTTGGTAAGAGTCGAGAATAAAAAATATGATCTTGTGTTACGAGCTGTACACGTGTAGGTAAAACTAAAAGTGTTTGGTTTTCAAATTTATTTTGTTTTCTTGCCCCTTTCTTGATTGATAAGTTGCAATTAAAACAACCAATGTTGTAGACAGGAAACACATTTTGGATAAAAGTATTTTTACTAAAAACTTTTCCAAGAATCCGGCACAACCTTCCCAGATTCTACTGGAGTTTTACTGCCATAAAGAGGATCTTTTTTCACTGTTGCCACATACATGATCAATATGAAGGATTGCTGCAAAGTTAATGACTCCTATCACAGTCAAAGACCCCCAACGCCCACACCAACATGCCATTTTAACTGCTGTGTTTTCAGATGAGTTGTGTTTTTCCTTTCCTATTAAGTCATTTTCAGAGGAGCTGCTGCATTAACTGTCTGACTTCCAGTTCTCTGTGGAATGAATAATGCTGGTTTATTTTAAGACAATTTGACTTCACAAGAAACAAGTTGTGGGTTGTTAACAGACAAAATTATTGCCTTTACAGGATTAGATTCCATTTGCCATGAGATTAAAATTCACTGGAACTATGGAAGAAAGGTTTTCTATTTCCAACGAGAAACTCTTATTCGTCTGTGGTGAAAATACTGACCTGCTGAATCCCAACAGACTCAAAGTAATAGATTACTTTTCTAATAATCTGCATAGTTTGTCCCTCTATCCAACAATAACTAAACCTAGCAATTTTTTTTTTTTTTTTTTTTTTGTCAGAATAACATGACAGAATATAACATTAATATGTTCATTAGTAATTTTGGGGTTCCAGCAAGAAGTGGTTTGTAATATGTGACATCACTGACCTCCCATTTTTACTTTGTGTGACTGCAAACTTAAATATATCAAAGAGGATAGTGACAGCAAGAATGAAGGAAACTATCAATGACTTTCATAGCAGTTTAAAAGATCAGCACTTGAGCTCAGTAACCTCTGAAACATGTAGATAATTTTCTAAACATCTTTGTTCTCTGTATAATATACCCTGACCAGTTAAAAAATACTACTTTAAGAAAAAAATCTATAAAATCCTTTTTTGTAAACAAAAAAAAACTATGCAAGCTGTTTATCAAACTCAAAACTAAAGATGCAGAATAAAGACATAAGATATACAAAAAACAAACTAAGATATAATTTGAACTCCTCAAACATTATATTTAAGCAAATCCTGTATATTAATAGAACAAATATGAAGAACATACTGAATGACTTGATGCAACAGGGACCATCAAACATGGATTATCCGAATTATTTTTACGGTATAAATGGAGATATTTTCAATATGGTGGTGGTAGTGTGATGGTCTGAGTTTGCGTTGCTGCTTTAAGACATGGATGACTTGCCATAATCGATCAAAGTTGTAATTCTGTGAGGATGATTTTAATCAAAATTATATTTGGATTATGCAGATCTGTCAGTGGAATATATTATTCCCAGTGTTTTTTTCTACAAAATGAGTCTTTGGAGATTTAATTAGAGGTTCTACGTAAGTATATTAAGTTCACCATTAAGTTTAACCTCAATAATCCAAAAATAGAAATAACCGGAATTTCATCATTGTGGGACAGGTAGACATTTCTTAACTTATACTTTAGGTTTTCCAATGATAATGATGGTAAAAAGTCTTTCTATCCTTGTATTGTATTATGACTGTCATTGGTTTGCCCTTTTAGTTGGTTGTTTATAGAAACAGTAAAGTGTTTGTGTGTGTCACAGTGGATTCCCCCACATACTGGCCCCCTACTGGCTTTCTAGCTAATGTGATGTCTTTCTCTCTGTGTGTGTCTCTGTTTTTATGACTGTGTGTCTACGTCTTTTGTTGTTTTTTTTTTTCCCATTTTTTTCTTTTTGCCACATTCGACTGGTCATCTACCTTCCTTGTTTTCTGTGTGCTTTCGGGCATGTTTTGCATGTTTGTGTTTGCTTTAAATGTATGTTTGTGTTTGTCTTTGTCCCCACCCATGTCTGTGCATCTCTTTCTTTGTGTTTGCTCCCATCCTTGGTCTTGTCTTTTCCCTTTCGTTGGCGTCTCCATAATGTCCTCCTCCAGCCTTTGTGACTTTGCTGAACGGGGACCAGGCTCAGGATGCCATCCGCTCCCTCCACCACAGCACTGTCCGAGGACGCCTGATCAACGTCACGCTGCAGCCCACAGATTCCCTGCTCTGCCTCACCAACCTGCCCCACACCTTCACGGCGCAGCAGTTCGAGGAGTTGGTGCGCTTGTATGGAAACATAGAGCGCTCCTTCCTGGTTTACAGTGACCTAACGGGCCACTCCAAGGGCTATGGGTTTGTCGAGTACATGAAGAAGGACTCTGCTTCAAGGGCCCGCTCGGAGCTGTTGGGTCGCCCTCTGGTACGTGTGAACAAAAGAAATTAAACAAATAATCATTTGTTTCAATTATTTAGCTGTAAAAAAAAAAAGGTTTCTATGTATTTCTTGATGATGAAAGATAAGGAATTTCCAGTTTTGCAATGCCACAATGTATCGTGATCACACAATACGGTAAAGATACCTCTATATATGATTATTACGGTAATGATATTGTAATCGTAAAACAGGAGGAAGAACATCTTGTAACTGATGGGTTTGTAGTTCAAGCACCTAATAAACCCATCCATCCATCCATCCATCCATCCATCCATCCATCCATCCATCCATCCATCCATCCATCCATCCATCCATCCATCCATCCATCCACCAGTTCAGCCATCCAAATTGGCACCAATTGTATGGACTCCTTCTGTCAGCATGCCCCACAGCAGCTGTGATTAGGTTGTAGCTTGCCAGCATCAGTTTATGAAAGTGTGTATTAATTGATAAATACATTTATGTAGTCCCTCTGGGGTCCTCAGACTTGATAAGAATGCCATAGAATAACAGGTCATGAGCTATTTTACTATAAACTAGTCATTAATGTATTTTTAGCTCATCGTTGACATAGGCTGTTGTCGTGCATTTCTTTAGGGATGAGGAATTGTATATGATTTGCTTTTTTTAAAATAATGGTGTAAATATGTAACTGCTACCTAACACAATAGCTTTTCAAATTTATCTATAAAGTGTTTATAACTAAACTGTCCCTAAATGATTTGAGAAACTTTAGATAATTTAGATCTGATAATTAAATGTTGCTCTCATCCAACACATAAGCTCAGACCTTCCTAAAACATTTGGTAGTATCCAAAATAGAACATATTATTGTGCAGTTATGCAATCTTTGATTTATTTTTATCTGTGAAGTTAGCAACTTGTTTCCTTGATCTTATTCAAACATGAAAATGAGCATTGACAATCATCAGCTTGTCTATTAAATGAAGAATAAGCAACTCGTGAACCATTCTTGTGACTGTTAGATGTGTTTGAGTTGAGTTTTACCTTAAACCTGATTTGTTGCAATCACTCACTGAGTACTTTAAAGAGCCAAATATGGACTCTTACAGTTGAGCCTGGTTGAAATGTATGTACATTCAAAACGTTTTTTGCCCTTTTATTTGTGATGCTTAAGTCGTATACTTTAGAGATGGAAACAGAATGTTTACTTTACTGATAAATGTAACTCAGTTTGTATGGAATACATTTATTACAGATTCTACACTTTGTGATTATCATGACCTGGCTGACTGAAAATGTATATTTAGTCAGTTTGAACTATTTTAATGTGTTTGTGCTTTACTAAATGTTTCAGGGGGATCGGTCGCTGATGGTCCAGTGGATGGATGTCAACCAGCTGAGCCAGGAGGAGAACCTTCATTCAAAGTGTTTGTGTGTCGACCGGCTGCCTCTTGACCTCTGCGACTCCGAGGAACTCGCTCAACTCTTCTCTGAAACATATAAACCAATTTTCTGCCAGGTAAGATTTGGTTGTTGTTTATTTTGTATTTTAACTGTTGCAAGCAATATCTGATGACAGAAAATATCATCAGTATTACTGCGAGCTCACTACATACAGTAGGTCATGACATAAACAGAAGTTGGCTTTTATCAAAAGCAATCAAGAATCATACTCTCAATGGGCTGCAGAGATCTTGGATAAACCACAAACTTTTCCATCGCTGGATTACAGAGACACATGCTTTTCTGGCACACCTGTAGCCTTCCACCTCACCATGTATCACGGTAAACACACCATCTCCATACCGCCCCATGGTTGGGGTAGTCAGTTCAGTTTTGAATCGCTATTTTTTTACTATCCAAATGCAATGTTACACTGAAGTACACAGACAATCTTGAGCACTTAGACCAAGCGGAAAACTGCAGCTCAAGCTGAAGCCTGCTTACCTGAGTTTAGACCGCCGACAAGCTTCTGATCGGCCAGGATGTCTGAAAAAAGTAAGTGAGACATAGGCTTCTTTGAAAGTCAAAGTATAAGTTACATTCAAAGAATTGCGTCACACCCCTCCTAAAACACCTTCATTGGCTCCATGACTGTGATTTTATATATGAGCTTATATATATATATATATATATATATATATATA